CATGAGCAACAAGGGCAGGGTGGGCAGTGTAGTGGGCTTATACTGTTTACTGTTGGGCCATGGCTTGGTCTGAGACACATGTACCTCTGCCAAACAGTGCGTTGGCCCCCAGTGTGGCTGTGCTTGGCTTGGATCCCCCAGGACTTGGTGTAAACTCGTTCCCACTAATCTTTGCAGGGACGCAGGAAATGATAATCACTGGTTTCTCTTCCCACAAAGATATGATTCCCAGAGGCCACTCACTAGCTGTGGGAAACCTACTGGTCCAATGTGCATCCCTAAGCTCTCGCCCAGAACCCAACACCATGTGGCCCAGAAGAAAATAGAGTTCCCCCTGCTGTCTTCTTTATTCAGTCCAGTCTCTGAAACTCGTTTCTCTAGGTTAACCTGCCCACTGCCTCTTTGGGAAGGACAGGGCTAGAGAGTGCCATGGGTAGAAGGAGGCATTCCCTTCAGCCCAATCCATGGTAAAGGCTGAAGCAGTATCCAGGCTGCTTCCCCCATGACCCAGGCCCCTGTCTCCCTGTGTCAAAGCCTTCACATAAGGCTTTGGGATCTTAGGCACAAACTTGAGGAAGGAAGATGACAGCAATATTGTTAGGAGCACAGAGCCTGTAAAGAGCTTACGGATGGTGGAAATGGCTCTCAACATAACTGAAGACCTGGGCTCTCAACTCTGGCTTTCAACTCTGGCTCTTGCTCACATGTGATGTGGGTAAGTCACTTTCTCTCCCTATGTGTCAATTCCATCCTCTGTAGAATGGGGTTAATGAAATCTTCCTAACCATCAAGACTAGATGTAAAGATTCCATGCAGAAATGCTCACTCACTACCCACTAAGTACTCAAGAATACTCAAAATAAAGGTTGGGCCTACATGATTACATACTTTACATAAAGAACAACATCCTGTTCATAAAGAAAGAAACTAGCAAATGAACTTGTGGAAAAGGAGGTTTTACAAGAGGCAGTATGTAGAGTAGATTCTTGCTGTTAAGGATTATTAGCTCTATAGTAGGACTTTATGAGGGTCAAAGAGTCTTAGTGTTAGATACATTTACCAAAAGAGATAAATTTGGGGGGTTATTCATCTGCATGCACTTGTAGGGTGTTTGAAAGATTTCTTCTGATTTTGGGAATTGGTGCTTCTCTAAGAACCTGAGAAACAGTCTTCTAATGTTATATCTAAATAGCTTTTAGTGTACAAGTCTTGACTAGTATTTCTCCTTTTCTTCCACCTCCTTATTTTAAAAATTATGGGCTATTCTTTTTGAAATGTAGATGGTCACAATCTAAGACGGTATGCAAACTGGATCCATCACCAATAAAGGACACTTTTATTCACTTTACGCTCACTCATTCACTGCTATGATTGCATGTGTTTTCTAGTCCTATGCTTAATACTGAACTACAAAAATAAATGTAAGCATCCTATACCTGCCTTCCTATCAGAAAAGGAGGATCCACAGTGACTGTTCTCTGGCACCTTCCAGTTTTATAAAGAAAACAAGCTCTCTGTAGGAAGAAGTGGAATTTAAGGCTTACAGTTTAGCAGTTAATTACATGTGACACCAGGTTGCTTGCTTTAAATCAGGTTTCCCTGCTGGGTGGAAGGCCATGAGAGATTTGCTCAAGGTTAGAGGCTGAAGGGGGATCTTCAGACACTTGCACAGCTTGCATCAAGAATACTCAAGTGAGGTAATACCTTCAAATGAAGGAATTAAACCTGGCTGTAACCTAGTTCTGAAAACAATGTTTTCATAGTCCCACCAGTGGACACAGCTGGCCCTGAGGGCCTGGTGCAGAATCAGCAACAGGAGTCAGATGCAGTCACCTCATGATATGTTGTCTTGTGGGATGGGCTTCTGTAAACGTCTTCTCTATCACGTGGATCCGAGATTGTATCTAACCTTCTCCTGGCACTCAGAACATGACATTTAATACGCATGTGCTCAATATAGCGATGAATGGCCAGATTTAGAGGCTTCACTTAGATATGGGATGGCTGAGCCTCACTGGGGAGCCAGGCAACTCTTCAGAGACTCTGCACATGCAAGCATCCTGTGAAGTAGCTCTCACCATCACCATACCTACTTTGCACGCTAGGAAACAATGCATTACATAACTTACCCTGAGTCATACACTTTGAGTGATTTGGATTAAGGTCATTTAGCCAAGGTCAAAACCTTGTGTTTAAGGGTTGTACTGGGCTCCATCCCTGAAGAATGAACTCTGTTCTATTACTGAAATCAGCCAGGGCCGCAATTGGCTGCTCTTTATAGAATCCATCACCCTGCAATTCAAAAGCTTTCCACTTCTCTGGCTTTAATGTCAATCTCACTTTCTTTTTTTTTTTTTTTTTTTTTTTTTATTCTGTGAATGAGTTTTGAGCTTTCCTTGCTTTTCTGTAGACACAAGAGCATTCTCTACACAAAACTCTTTCATACTCTTAAAAACTGGCATTAAGTCATGCTTTTGAATTGTATTGTTTGCATAAAAATTCCTACCCATTTGACTGTTTCATGAGGAACACAATTTTTATTTTTCCTTCTTTCCCTTTTTCTTTCTAAACCTGTTGTGGAATGTAAAGTAGGAATGTAGTGTATGTTCTTGTATTTAACTTTCCTTTTCATAAGTTTCAACACTATGTGAGTATTTTTTCCCATTACAAATGACTGTGCTGTGTGGGGTTCTGAATACAGACACACACATACACCCCTGAGTGTAGCCAGTCTCTGCTTTTTCTTTGTATAAATCAGTTCCAAACTGCACCTCAAGTTTACTCTTTACTAAAATTTGGGTCTATGATGTTGAATTCCACAATATTTGTAGATTTTATTTTATTTTTTTTCTTTTTGGTACCAGGGATCGAACTCACAACCTTGCACTTGCCAGGTGAGCGCTTATACTGCTGAGCTAAATCCCCAGCCCTATTTGTGGATTTTAGATTTCTCAAAATCACTTTAATATTTAATCACATCTTCCAGAGAATCATCAATGTCAATTATTCCCTTTTTTCTTTCTGCTGCTGAAAGCAGTAAGTGCAGGTGTTTTGAAGGAATTTCTCCTTGTGGTTTGTGCATTATGATCCATAAATCCATAGATAACTGTTTGTGGATTTCCAGACTTTTCTCTCCTGTGACATGGCCATATGCCCAGAGGAGGAGCTATAGTGTCTACACATTGCACCACTGATACTCTGGAAGGGTTTAACCATCTAACTATACCTACAGGCAGCAAGAGCAGTACCTTCACGCTGCCTCCATCCCTATCCCTTGAATGACAGTTGTAAGAATTCTCGGGCCCCGGGGTTACTGTCAGGTAATCTCACTTGCAATATAGATATGAGCATAGATTGAACAACCATGTAGGCCCACCTACCAGCACTGCAGAAGGCTGAAGACCATAAAGAGACTGTCTTCTCCCTGTAAAATCCTTCTGCTTTCTTGGTCATAATGCCTGAGAGGTCTTGCAGGAACTGACATGATGAATTTATTAGAGAAGAGAAAGTGTAAGGGACACCTTTACCAAGAGGCTGAACTAGACAAACAGCATGATTGGAGAGGGGAGGCTTGTTTAACTGAAGTCAGAAAGGACTCAAACTCACCGGAAACCCAGAAAAAGAAAATTTTTTTAAAGGGCGGTCATCACATTGAATTGCCAAGAAATCAGTGAGCTGCTTGTCTAGAGCATACACATTTCAGGCCACAAATTCTGCTGTGCAAGAAATGGAAATTGATTTCAGAACTAGACCTAGATTTCTGTTGAGTTATACACCACTGGGTGGAGAATTGTCTGACAATTAATGGTCTCCCAGCTCCCTTCAGCTATTCTGAGGGACAAAGACCTTGTTGGTTCCCTGGCATAGTGAAGTAGGTCCTCATCATCTGTTTGTACTGGTATCTGCAGAGCAGCCTCTCATTCTGTCTTCTGGTCATTGTTCCCACCAGGTTCTCTCACCTGCAGGAAGTTATCAGAAGTTTACTGTCTCAACATGTTATACATGTTCCTCAGAATTGCAGACAACTGGATAGACTTTTCTGATCTAGTACTAAGAGATTTTGCAGAGGATTCTGGGACCTTTCCATTTTCTTGAGTTTCATTCTGAAACAAAGCACGGATCCTAAATGCTGTGAGATTCCTTGAACTTATAGAGACTGTATTTGTGGACACATAAGCACCCATGGTTTGTGTTCTTCACAGGGACATGTACACACGAACAAGAGCTTACGTTTTCTGGAACCTGCCAAAATCTAAACTCTTGTCTCTGTTCTTGCTGGCTAGTGGTGTTGAAGGCTGAGTTCTGAATTTCTTACTAATTTTTCTTCTTAATTTTTTTTTATGGCAAAACTTGTGTGCCCCTAGTCCTCCACAGTTTAATCTTGAAGCTTAGAAGTTTTGTCTCTGCTTTTCCTATGAATCATCCCTCCTCGGGGCCTTTGAAAGCTGTGGACTGAACAGAGGAGGCCACAGTAACCTGGACTGGTGAGGGAGGGATTTGGAGTCCCATTTATCTTCTCAAGGCCAGCAGATGACGGTGGATCAGATGTGTCCTTAGTTGAAGATTTTAGGAATTTCAAGTTGCAAAGAACCAAAGGGTCAGACTCAAATGCTCTTGATCTATACAGCAGAGGCTGTGGAGGACTCAGGGATAGTACACACTCTAAGAAACTATAAATGGCCATCAGGACAGACAGTCTTCTGATGTGGGACTGATCTTTGTCACTGAGGCATTCTAGATGAACAAATGTACCTTGGCTTCCACTTAGAAACCAGCCAGTTCCTCCTTTTAATTTCTTTATTCATTTTTTTTTATTGTTTCCTTTACATGAACTGCTTTGTGGTTGGAGCTGTCCTCTGACTCACTTTATAGACTAATCCTGTAATTGAGGGTATACATCAAATAGCCTAAGAAATCTTGTGGAAAAACCACACTCTCACTCTGCACATGAAAAGCCATGTATGTTCAGGAGTTGCTCAACCTCTTAAATCCTACTTCAGATGGCTATGAGTTCCTGGAGATCCTGAAACAGGTGGCCCGAGACAACACCAACAATCCTGACCTGAGCATCGTGTGGATTGACCCTGATGACTTTCCTCTGGTGAGTGGATCTGGACAGCATCCACCTCTGCTCCCTTTATAGTCCATGGTCATGTTTAGCATGAGGCTCTCAACAGGAAAGAGGTGATAACTAGGCAAAGGCACTTGAAGAAACCCAGGGACCACCCCATGCAGTATAGCCCTAATCGTATTGAACTTGGCCTGGGACAGTCATTGAAATGCTTAGATTCACTACTGTTCTCACTCCTGAGAGACCAAATACTGGAGACTCTCCTAGGGGCCCACCCAAGTGAGCTGTGGAGTCTTCCTACCAGATGCTCCATAGCTGCCTCTCATGCGGCCACCAACCCTCTCTGCTCTTCTTTCACTTACAGATGGGGACCTTAATTCTGAGGCAACCTAAATTACTGATAATAAAAACCAGAGAGAAACATTTTGCATAGAACCAAGAACTTGGCAGAGAGAAGGAGGAGCCTCTTGGAGAGCAAAAACCATACCTTTCCTATTCATACTGTGCTCCCCAGGATGTGGATTAACACTTAGCATATGTTTAAGATATAAAAACTTTTACAGTCCAAACATAGCCAGGGTTGATGATCAATAGCTAGAAGACTCTGATTGTACTTAGTTGTATGAAAGAAAAATTTGTACGACCTCAGTAATAATGACAATCCTCCACTGTATGTCTGGAACTACAATAAGTTGTTTATATGCATCATCATAGGCAAATTCATCAAAGTCCTATGATGCAGGCACTATTATAATCCCTATCAGATAGATTAAAATAATGACAACTGGAGGGACTAAAGATAGTAAGTGGTATATATGATATTACAAGCTAGATCTATGTTCACATCAGACCTTGGCTTATTGCTTGTTTTTGGCAGAGCTAACTGCTAGTAATTAATACAAATTTAGGTATTATTAGCTTATAAATGACAATTTTATCATTCAGAAATTATTTTTAGTTCCTGGGTCATGACTGATGATGCTATGATCAAGCAGGGAAAACTGAGAGGGTGTAGTGATCTCAAGGGTCCTGATGCCCAGTGCTACAGAAAGAACAGATAAAACAAAGGCAGAGATTTCCATGACACTGGAGGCCAATGTCATAATTCAAGGTAGTTACGGTAATTATAAGAAAGTCGTGGTCATGTAAAGCCATATATGAGACTTCTTTTTAAAAAATTTATCTCTTGCCAGGCTGTATTTCCAGTTTATTAATACTATTTTGTTACACAAGTTTGCAGTTAGTCTGCGTTTCTTTTGGCTAGTTCTATATGTTTGCCTTGGTCTTTGCAAAATAAATAAATAAAGAATCTTCAGACTCTGCTATTTCCAGATTCTTGACTATCCCAGTCCCCACCAGGCCCCATTTTTCCTGACAGACTTTCTCCTATATCATTACTTTTCTAGTCATCTCATGCAGTAGAGCAGAAGATGGGACATTAAAAAAGAAGTGAAAGAAAATCGCTCTTTCACCATCCATAAACTATAAAAGAGCCGCAAGTAATTTGGGAATCAACACTGTTCACCTTACAGCTGAACAAACTTTTCATATTACATGTTTTCATAGTTCTTGTGATGACATCTTTTATTTAATGCTTAAAGTGCTTGAGGGTGGGCCAAGTTGGCCATTTCTTAAGAGCCTACAGCTGTTTCAAAGAATTTTTACCAGTGGTGACCTAGTTACTGTGGTAGAATGGCAGGTGAGCCCAGCCACAAAAATGTAGCTTTAACCGAGAATGCCCTTTGCCTGCTGTCTAATGTGATTTTGTGTTGCCACAGCTTGTTGCCTACTGGGAGAAGACCTTCAAGATTGACCTATTCAAGCCACAGATTGGGGTGGTGAATGTGACAGATGTGAGTACCCACCATGCAAGCTTGCTCAGGCCCCTTTAGCCGGTCCTGTTATCTGTTCTTCAGTCCCCACTGCTATATCTTCTTTAGGAGTCCAGCTCCTTCAGAAACAAGTAGAACTTCTGGCCTTGTTTGAGCACATTCTGCATGCCAGCATGGCCCAGTCATGGTCTCCGAGCCAGGCCTAATCTGTGTTTCTATGCCTTTCTTCCATGGGTTTGTTTCCTTGCTTATGGGGCAAGCCTGATCCAATTCACCCATCTATAACTTTTTACCTGAGACAATTCTCCTGTATCCTTCTCTAAAAACCCAAGAACAAGGTCCTTTTATATAAGGAACTGTCACTGCATAATACGTGCAGTTGTGGCTCAGAAGCCCTTGCAGGCAAACATCAAGCCCACAGGAGGGAAAGATCAAAGGCATGCACAAGAAAGGGGCTTCCACCCGGTTCAAGCACTGTCCACATGAGTGTGGGAAAGGCTAAGAAGATGGACTGGCAGAGTGCAAAGAATTTGAACTCAGTCCAGGCATCTGATGCAAATCCACTGAAACGAAACAGAAGTGGGCACAGATACAACCAAGCAAACAGTGAATAAAAAGAGATGCCCACAAAGGACCCATTAGAGCCAGAATTAATTATGGTTGATTGTCTTATGAACAGCAGCCAATTAGTAATGTCTTTTTGCCCTGTTGTTGAGTGTTCGATCATGTGGGCAACTCCATATTTATTTGTTTTGTAAATAACTTTAAAAAATAATAATTTAAAAAATAGGTTTCAAATTAAAACATTTAAAAATAAAATAGAACAGTATAAGTGAAAAGGAAAAACTGTAGCCTATATATGGGTAGTGGAAGACATATTTCCTCTGTGTAACCAGATATACATATCACTCTGCAATTTGGCAATTTCATTTAACAATGTACACATACTCTGTGAAGTTGTAGGAAACTGGAGACTCACTCAGCACAGCTCAGAACCCTGTGGTGAGACTCAGCCTTTATTCATTGATTCATTCATGCATTCACTCTGTCCCTCATTGTAGGCTGACAGTGTCTGGATGGAGATTTCGGATGATGATGATTTGCCTACAGCGGAGGAGCTGGAAGACTGGATTGAGGATGTACTTTCTGGAAAGATCAACACTGAAGATGATGACAATGAAGATGAAGATGATGATGACGATAATGACGACGATAATTCTGATGAAGAGGATAATGAAGACACTGATGATGATGATGATGAATAGCTCCAATTCCAAATGATTATTCCGAAAACAAAATCACAGCTTCCCACCCTCACAGAGACAGACCATGGTGGCAGCAAGCAGCCCTGCCCCCTACACAGCTCCTTTCTTCTTTCCAACATCTTTTCTCACCCCCTTTTCATCATGAGCAAATGCTTTTCCAAACCCAGCAGTCCCACTTAGCAGGGACAGGAGAGGAATGGGTACCATGCTGTCTTGATTATCATGGAACACTTTTCTTGTTCTTCACTAGATCATCATGGAGTCACAGCAGTGCCAGAATCTGACAGAATTGGGACAAACCCTTAACACCTCTATCAAGTTTACTTGTCTTTGACTGTGATGGTGACAGAGCCAAATATTTGTTAATTCATGGAGTGACCTTGTAGTCAGAGCCCTGGAAAGACAGATGGTTAGTTAATTTAGCCCCCATATCTAGAACATCAATGAACTCATCTCTAAATTTTTTGATGTCTATTGAGAAGCCTTGTGTAGGTGACCCTAATATTTCTAGTGTATTAGTACCCTGAGATGGGTGGTTGATTTGTTCTCCAAACTTCTGGTTTATGACAATTCTCATATTCACCTGCAGTGGGGTACAAGGAGACTGAAGCATTAAAGGCTCTTAATTTTTTGGATGGGGATGGGTTTACATCTTTATATAAGTCAGCTGGCCTCTTGTGTTGAGCTGGGAACTGAATACCCCTTCTCTGTTACTGCTGGTAAACTTCACTTAAATTTTTTCTTTATCTAGAAGTTAATAACTCTCCATTTATCAGCACTCCCACAGTTTACTAGAGCTATAATAATTGGAGTCCATAATGATAGCCTGAAACACTAAAAACAAACAAACAAACAAACAAACAAACAAAAAACTCCTATGTGCCTTCTGAGCTGCCTAAAAGTTACATTGTGCTTGGTAGTGCTAGCATTGAGTGTGTAGTATAATGTTCTAATTTATTTTTTCAATCTGTTAACACATGAAACTGTACAAATGTTTTTGAAACTGTGTCAATCCTTTTGTAGAATAATAGCTAACTAACTGTCATTAAATTCATATTCTGAAAATTTGAGATTATCTTGAAAATTCTATCGGTTTTTCTGGTCTTTGGTTTCTCATTCTCATAAGACTCTAGTGCTACCTCTCTATTCCTTCTGTTTCCTTTTCGGGCTGCTCTTCACCTGGCTGCCCTCCAAATGTTGATGTTTTGCAGTGTCTCTTAACTTCACACACTCCTCTAAGGCAATATTATCTGTTTCTGTTAGCTGCTACCTGTATACAAATGACTCCAAATGTGGGTCCCTAACCTGACCTCTTGTCTTGGTTTTAGACCCATTCAACTGCCTCTCCATGTCTTGGCTTGTATGCTACAAGTGTTTCTAACTCAATACCACAAAACCTGGACTCTTACCTTCCCCCCTAAACTTCTCCTATCTATGAAGTTCCAGGTTGGATGAGTGATACCACCCTCTGTGTAATTATCTGGGTGCTGTGAAAGTACCGCATTCCGCTCTGTTCCCTTGGCATTTCACGTATGTTTTGGGTCATGGCCTTTGTCAGTTAAATTATAACACATCTGCCCTTCCAGAGTTACAAGCTCCTTCAAAGCAAAAAATGCACTTATTTTTGTATTTCCAGAACTTACTACTTTGCCTATCACAAAGTACTAAATTGAGACATGAATAATTGCTTAATCAGAACAGTTATAATTCCCTAGCATTATTTGTTGGCCAACATAGCTGATGGGGTATATTAGTATGCTTGAGCTGAATATCACAGACTGAGGGGCTTATGAGCAGTGAAAGCTTGTTTACTCACAGCTGCCAGCTATGTGGGTTCCTGATGAGGAGGCTCTTCCTGATTTCTCACCAGGTTCTCCCATGAGTCTTCCCGGGGTGAGGGGCGGTGCACACAGGCATGCTCTGGTGACTCCCTTCTCTTCCAAGGACACCCATCCAATCAGTGAAATCAGTCATCCCATGACTTCATTTAACCTTATAGGCGCTAGCTCCACATGCTGACATGTGACATTGTAGGTTAAGAGCCTGACCTAGGACATCTAGCTGCTCCTATTGCACAGGAGCAGCTAGAAATTAGTATTTTTCTCCTCAATAAGCCAGGCAGCTGCTTTTCAAGCTATGTTACGTTGCCACCCACCTGGGCCCAGAAGCACTTCTGATAAGCTCTTGGAGAAGCATCCTTCCAAAGGAGTGCATGATGCTAACCTTTCAGGTAGCCTAAGAGTGCAGTCCATCAAGCAACTAGTCTGTTTCCAAGTTCAGGAAAACTTCCTTGTTCTCAGGGGTCTGAGAAATATCCACTAAGTTAAACTTTTATGGTGTGCTAGAGTGAAGTGAATTGTACCTGTAAGCACTAGTACTACTTATTTATTAGTTTCAACTTCTTTTTGTTTTTAATCAGTACCAGGGATCGAACTCATGACTGCCTGGTTGCAAGGCAGGCGCTTATGCTGCTGAGCTAAATCCCCAGCCCAGTTTCAACTTCTTAAACTGGTAACTATTGAACATGTGTTATGTGCCTGGAACACTATGCTGAGTGCTTTACATATGTTATCTCATTGAATCCTCACAAAGGCTTGCAGGATGTATCTTGTTATTGTCTTCTTTACAGATGAGGAAATGGGGTGAAAACACAGGGCTCCAGGAATTTTCCCAGGATCACACAATCACTTTGAAGAAGTCTAAATATCACATAACTCGATTTGTATATTTACAAAGATTTAAATTCCTTGAATTAAGGAACAAAGAATTGCATTTTAAAAAATAGTGTCCAAAGATGGTTTCAAGTAAATTTTCCATGATCTTTTTTATTGTTTGAACCAAATACCATTTATCCTTTCTTCTGAGACTCTATTAAAAAACAATATAAAAAAAGATGACTAATTAGAAGTGCAAAGTCTGGCCATTCCATTTTTTTTAAAGCGAGATTGTTTTATAGAACACACCATCATTTTCTATATATTTCTATTAAAGATCATCACAGAACTTGAAATGAGCTTGTCTTTTCCAGAACACATTTGTGCACTAGTCAAGCCCTGTTTGTATCACTCCTGAAGCCAATCCTGTTAATAGTATCCTGCTGCTAATATTATAGGTCATTATCAAAAGATCTTTGTTCAATGGTGCCTGATGACCCAGATGCACAAATCCCTCAAAAACGTTGATCCCCAAGGCTCTGCCTGAAAACTTAACACTTTCAACAGGTTTTCTGGTTAGTGAGTGACAGGCTCAATCCCTAACTTACTTTAGAAAATCCAGACACCTGTACCAGCTGAGTGCCACTGATGTGCCAGCTCTACAACTGGGAGCTGACCATGTCCAGAGTTGCTGTGGACTGACCCGAGAGCTAGGACTAGGGATCTCTGTTCTTCCTACTCCCTCCAGTCCTTTCATCTAGTCTGTGGCTTCCCTAACAACTCCGCTAGCCTAGTCCAAAATGCTGCACGCTTACTGTGAGTTTTCTCCTAAGAAAAATGCACAAATGATGATTTCTTCCAGTCAGGTAAGGAATCAGGGCTGAATGAAAGCCCAGGAATGTTTTGGAAAAGGTCCTCTTCATAGACACGGGGGACAGAAATGTGACATCTCCTTCCAGCAGATTTAAGCCAGAATTCTAGGAAACTTTAACCTTTTCATTTTTTTTTTTAAATTTTAAAGAGATTGAAAGGAAACAAAACAATAAAAACAAAACAGCAGAAATGATACAGGATTTCAAAACAAGCTGATAGGAAATTAACAATAGTCACTATATTGCATATGCTTGTCTCCAAAATAGTTGCTCAGATTACAAGATATGGGCATGTGAAAGATCAAACAATATGAGCAAACAATACGGGCAATCATGGTTTCTTTCCATGAGCTAATAGGATCAATAGGACAATTATCTTAGTTAACGTGTGTGTGTGTGTGTGTGTGTGTGTGTGTGTGTGTGTGTGTGTGTGTAGCTCTTTTCTTTTCTTTTCTTTTCTTTTCTTTTCTTTTCTTTTCTTTTCTCTTTTTTCTCATCCTAGTCTAAGAACCTTTAATTATATCTCACACCCACACCAAATGGGAGGCAAGCCCCATCCCCATCCTCATCTCTTCTCTACCATTATTGCATTGATTTGGAACATTTCCAATCTTTCATCTGAATTCCTGCAAGGTTCACACTGCTCTCTCAGCTCCAGTTTACTACAATCAAGTGATTGTTTCATAATAAGAAATCAATCACAGGGGCTGGGGATCTAGCTCAGCAGTTCAGATGCTTGCCTCATAAAGCAATGTGGGAGACAACTCCAGTGACTCCCCTTGAATGCAGAACAACTACTGCACCTCTGATTATATGGAGACTTATTTCATTATACTGATATGTAGAGAGCTGACTATGGTATTTCCTTCTCTCTTCAATTGGCTCTAAGCATTGTAAATAAGGCTAGCTGAGATGCTGGTATATAATCTCTAAAGCTAACAGACAGTCCTGTTTCCCTGCATAGTGTTGTCCATGTAAAGGATATGAGCACAGCAGGATGTTAGAGCCAATAGCTCTGGAATGTCAACTGGGTAGGAGTCTCAAAGTAAAGAGGCTATGACTCCCCAGGGCACAAGAGTTTGCATATCAGAAACTGAAGCACCAGCCTCTGAAAACAATTCTACTGCTACCTTAATTAGATTATATGAATTGATCCTTCTACATATCTTTATCTCTGCAATTTACAGAGATGCCTTTCTCCCACCTGGCCAGCCAGCTCAAGTTACATGATTCCCCACCATCCTCCTGTCACTCATCTCTGAGCCACCCCCCTTCTTCACAAGATAATAAATTCTGGGAGAGGCCTCAGATCAAGGCCTTTGTCTGCATGTCCTCATGGGGGTTGGACTTAGGACTCTTGGGGGCTCTTAACTTGGAATAAATCTTGGTATCTTTACTCTCACTGTGGGTTGCATTGGTGGTGGTAGATTGGAATTAACTTGCTGAGATTCTTATAATGTCTCAGTGGGATTACAAATATAACCTTTTGGATTGTGAGGAAAACTAGAAAGAGGATTACAATACTTGGATGACTGCACACAGTATTTGGGATTGCAATAGGCACAAAGTTGTGAGTTTGATCCCCTAGTACCAAAAAAAAAAAAAAAATTATTTCAAGAAATCAATCACATCACAAACATCCTTAAAATTCAACAGTTTTCTATTCCTGAAAGATGCTTGAGAAAAATTTATTTTTCAAAGAGAAGCTAGAAATTGAAATGTTTTTGGCTGTCAAATGTAGCATCTAAGATGAGAACTATGAGTTTGGGGAAGAGAAACTGGTACCTGTATGTTTTATAAAACCAAAAATCCTCAAATGTTTTCCTTGCATAGGAGGAAAGTAAAGGCTGAGTAGAGCTGGCACTCGTACCATTTGGCTTATGAATTAGACAAACACTGGATTAGCTGGGGTGGTTCCGCTACGGATTTGTAACATATGTGGAACTCTTGAGATTATAGCACTCAAAAGTCTCATTTGAGATTATGGTCCCCAGTTGGCATTTTAGGAGAAACTGAGTCAGTACCTCTGGCCACAAGGTGGGTGTCTTAGGTATTTTTCTTGTCACTGAGACAAAATACCCAACACTCAAAGTTAAAGGAGGAAAGGCTTATTTAGCTCAGTTTGTAGAGGTTTCAATCCATAATCAATTTCCTCCAAGACAGGGTGGCACATGGCAGAGGACAACCTCACAGCAGTGAAAGACAGCAAAAGTCAACAAGGTGTGGGGGAGACAAGACTCTTTCTGTGCCTTATATTGTATGTGGGTTACCTGCTCTAGGGTAGGTATAGCACTCACCCCCTTAATCTTAGAATTGTGACCTTGAATCAAGGCCAGCAGTTTGCTGGTAGCTGCTGGTTTCAAACAGGAGACTAAAAAGTCTTTCTGGGTCTGTTGGCCGTTTTAGAACTTTGGAAATGTAATGGTCAGTTCATCAGAAAGAAATAACCTAAAGCCCAGTGTGGCCCTGAGAAGAAGCCACACCCCAAGGCTATACTGCCATCAGAGGAGCACCGGTGACGCCCCATGTCTCACCCCTCCAGGAACCCTGGATTGGAGAATCCAGGTGCCTAGTTCAATCCACTGCACTGAGGATCTGGCAGCCAAGGCAGAAAATGCCCAGGATGCAGCAATGGGCTGTCTTGGAGAAACACAGGAAAATTTTAAGATGAAGGAGCAAAATACAATCCCATACCTCCAGCCCACACAGAACAAGTTAAGGTGGACACACAGTAGAAATTAGAGATCACACACTGAAATTTCAACTTAATTCTTGTATTGTTAATTTTACATTCGTATGTCTGAAGGTCTGAGTAGCTATTTTTAAGATAAGAGGCATTATGGTAGTCATTGTTCATTTCCTATTATCTTGTTTTGAAGTCCTGCATTGCTTTGTTTTGTTTGGTTTGGTTTTAATCTCTTTAAAAAAAAAATCTTAGAACTATGCCAAACCAATTAACAGACCAATTTACTAATCATGCACTCTTGATTCATTGCCCTCTGAAAATGCCCTGTTAGTCTTTGAGGGACCATCTAGACACAAACTATAACAGTAGGGGGCAGGTCTAGAATTAAAAGGAGCAAACCTCAGTTTCCTTTGCAGGATACTCAAGGTCTGTGTGAGGTGTCTCTTGTCTACCCAAACAGCTTCATCTCTCACGATGCCTTCAACTGCCTGGCTGCTTAGCACCAAGCCTTGGCTGATGCTGCTGTCTACTGGAACGTCCGCTCTTCCCGGCAAGTTCTCCCATCTTATAAGTGATACCCACTTGATGACTGTTTTCCAGTCATGTCCACAGCACAAACTGGCCATTTCCTCCACTAAATCCTTCACTGCCTATCATGTGCTCTCTGATGGACCCTACAATTTACTGCACTTTCACTTCTATGCATTTTTTCATCTATCAGTCTGAAAGAAACCTCAGGGGAAAAACGGTCCAGTGTGGTTCCCTCTTCAATGCCTATGTCTATGTTCTCATAGGCACTTACAAATCTCATTTGACTAAGCTTTAAGTATAATACAAGCTAATTGAAAAGCTACTATCCTTATTAAGAATGTGCAAAAACAAATGTAGTGATTACTGAATGTGACTCTTGTCCCAAAATTTCTTGGCAACATGGCATCATCTGTCCAGATTTTCTTTGTATAGCCAGTTGCTAAAGAAACAGGAACATGAAATCTCATGGGCTCAATGAGAAAGCTTCTAATACAGGATGTTCTTTCCTCAAATGAGCAAGGATTTCCTCCAGAAACACAGTAATTGTGAAGTGAAGCAAAGCAGGCTAGGGATGGGAAAGGAAGGGCCAAACCCTACTTTCTAGGAATGGAACACCCACGGCCACCTGAATGTCAGTTCCTTTAATGAATAAGACCTAAATGTTTGTTTGCAATGTTAATTAAGAACTTCTTTTGGAAATAATGTGACATTTTAACAATCTGACTTCTTTAGAGTAATGATGATTATAATGCAGACTCTCACAAGTTCTAACAACTACGCTAAAATATTCGTATGTGATTAGAATTGTGGCCAGTAGTTTTAGCAGTGTTCCATCATGATCTAATTCATTTGCTCTCTCAAAAATTCAACTAATGGACCTTGCAGCTTAGCATGTGCTGATCACAGGAGACAAAAAGTGGGTAAATGGTAGAGCCAAGAAGAGAGCTAGGAAAGAAAAACTGTTTGAAGCACTTTGTGTTAATTCCATCAGTGCATCATTTTACCCAAAATACTACAGAGACACATCTCAGAAATATATTCATATATGTAGACAGAGAATGCACTAAAGATTACACTATAATTTTTTTTTTTTTTTTACCAAGCTGAGCCTGTATATTTAGAAGCTGCTTGTGTGAGACAGACATCAAGAGGGAACCATGTCTCTCCAAAAGCAGGGAGACTTTAGTGCCCATGCATACTCTGGTGCCATGAACCAATTCTGGCTCTGGGCTTTACCTGGTCTCATCCTGATATCCCTCATTCCACTCCCATAATCTGATATTTTATCAACTGGGATTCTCTAACTCTTGCAAATTCTATAGCTGCATCATGGGTAATGAACAAAAAAAGTCTTTTATTTATGTATGTGGTCTTTATCTTTTCTTTAGCAGATTTGTTTTGCATTTATGAACTGTGCACATCTTGATGGCCCAAAGGGCTTATCAATAATCTGTACAAGTATCTTCAATTTAATGTTCTAATCCTTACCCTTGCAACTAGTACAGACGTGTGCTATTAGCATTCTACACAGGTAAAGAACAGTTGTTAGCAAAAGGCAATTAACATTTCTTTGTCAAACAATCGTGTTCTCTTTGAAATGACTTAACCTACATTAATACCTTAATTACCAAGTCACTCTCAAAAACAAGTCAATACCTGCCCCTCACTCCCGAACCTGGGTCTCACACGTTTGTCTCCTTACTTGACTTAAATATCTTTGTTACTTGGTTAATTTAAAATGTCTGCTTGGCCTGAGTTTCAAAGCCTAAGAACTTCATTTTTAGTTATCTGTTCATTTAGAACATTGTCACCATAAAATAGTTGGAAGTATAGTTTTGTTACAACAGTAATTCTTCTTTCCCAATCTATCATGATTGGTTTTCACAGAAACATGATGGGTTGTCTTTAAGACAGTATCAAAATTGTGAGTGAAAATGTTCCCTAAAAAAACAAACCACTTTTCATGTTGAAATAATTACACACAGAAAAGAAACAACATACAATTTAGGATTTAGATTTATTTTCCAAGTTTACAGTATAAAAAACATAATGTTTTAAAATGTGTTATAGCTAATTGGGATGGAGAAGGGCTATAACTGGAGGACGCAAAAGGGAACAAAATAACTTGGATACCAGGTACGATGTGTCCATGACAGATCCCATCACAATGAGAAGAGGTTTCATAGTATAAACTTTATGGAAGCAAGAAAAGGGACTTGTACAGATAGTTGCTGGTAGTGTAAATCACTCACATGTTCCGCGATGGCTCAGTGGAGCCCACCAGCCAGTAAATACAGCAACTCACACGTAGGCTTTGTCATCCGTATTTGGTAACAGGTGATTAGAGGTTAGTTATCAAAACTGTCCTTCATAGTAGGACAGCAGCAACTAGTAATCAGAAAGGACACAAAGAATCCCCTTTCATCTTTTTTTTATCACAGTTGACTGCATCAGACAGAGACAGATGGTTTTATCACTGAATTTGCTGGATTAATGCTGAATTCAAAATTCAAAAATGTGAAGTCTTGCTAACAATAGCAATTCTGAAATAACTTCTTAAATAACATCTAACCCAGGCGCCTCTGGTTTTCTCACTAACACCTTTGTTGAAGATGCAGACCTCCAAGAAATGGGTTAAATTCCCTGCCCCTGTGAGACAGTATGTGTCCCCACCTCATCTTTGCAGGTGTCCAGCACTCTATCAAATAGTTCGTGAATGACATCTTACAAATTAAATCTGGTTATGCATGTCATAATTTAGGGAATCCAAGAGGAGTTTTTTCCATTTAATGAAAACCCAGAATGAATGTACCATAAAAATAATAGGCTGGCGATAGCACACGACTGATTCCTCAACTGCTTGGGAGGCTGAGGCAGGAGGACAAGTTTGAGTTCAGCTTGGGTAACAAAGTGAGACTCTCTTTCAAAATAAAATAGAAAAGCTCAATATAGTTCAGTGGTAGAGCACTTGCTTACCATGTGTAAGCTCCTGGGTTTGATCTCTAGCACTGGAAACAAAATTATTAAGGTTTAGACTTTTTTAAAAGAAAAAAAAAAGAATGACAACCAATAGTGAGTATTTCATTATTCCTATAACTGAGGGGCACTGGCACAAGAAGGCATTGGCCATATTTTCCTTCCTGGCATACAACCACACAAGGGTGCACGTGTGCCTGTAACATGAGTTGAACTAAACTTGTCACTTGCATATCAGTTGCTCATCACTAATCCCTGAGAAAGTCTAGGTGCTCTCAGATGATGATGCTCTCCTAGGCTGAGGGCTTTGTATGGTTTAAAACTCCTAAGTAAGAAGCAATTTCATAATGAACACTTCTGCCCACAAGGGAAAGCATAGATAAATACAGACCCATAAAACCAGACAACTGTACATTCAAATATTGTCATCCCAATATTGTTTCAGTGCCAAAAAATGTACGAAAGCCACTCTTAAGATAAAAGCCTGGGAGTTTGTTGCATCTGTTCCCAAGGCTAAAATAAATGTCTTTTTTTCCATAAGATAAAGAGAGAACACTGCTATTTCTGAGAGATATCAATATTGAATTCTCAGTGCCACACTGAAAGCAACCTCCTTTCCCTGCCTCGGGCTTTAGGAGTCTTTGTGGTGTTGGAGAGATCCTCCAGCAGTCCACGAAAGAGATTTATTTCACAGGCAAAACAAACTGAGTTACCTAACTAGATACTTGACAGAACCTGGTGAAAAGGACTCAGAGTCCTAAGATCTACTCAGTAGTTTTACATTTCCTACGCACCCTTGAAAGCTCAACTTCCAATGAGAAGCGAGGCTGAGGGACGTGAGTGCCACCCTTTCTTTTGTCTTCTATTAAAACATCAGGCAGAGAAAGATGGTTTATGTACAGCTGAATCAAAACTCAGAAAGTAGAAAAAGGGACCTTTTTTTTCCACAGTCCTCCTTATGTATGTTCTAAGCCCTGAGGGCAAGAGCAGGCAAACAGTGGGTGCAAATTGCTCACTGAGAACACGCTGTCAAGGAGCCAGGAGAGAGGGCCCCCCAGCTGCAGACCTCCCAAGGCAGCCTGCAGGTATCTTCTTCCTGTCACTGCGGAGGGGAGGGGACCTGGCCCTAAACCAGCAAGGGATCAGCTCGGGTTGCTGCAAGCCTCCCCCAGCCCAAGGCCGATGCACGCTCTGTCTACACCAGCAGGAGCGGCAGAGCAGGGAAGCAGGAGCGCAGGACTGCTGCAGGAACGGTGGCGCCACTGGGTCTCACAGCTATGGCACTGCTAGGGCCGGACTTTCCTGGGAGAACGGGTATTCTTGGGTTCTTCCCACAAGCTGCCCCAGAAACCTGCTGGTATGGTGGGCAGTTTCCTGAGGGACCTCAGGGAGTAGATCTGTCTCTCGTGGAACACCCTGCTTGGGTCCTGACTCAAGATGGTAGCCCTAGATCCCTCCTCTGCATACAGAAATGCCAAACTGTAGAACCTGCTTCAAGGTGAAATGGACAGACAGACCGGAGTGAAATATCTGTCTAAAATTTTGTATACTAGCCAGGAGTCAGATCTCCCTTTTTCTCACTTGTAAAATGGAGATGGAGATTCAAAGGCTGTGTAGAGCAGTATCTTACACATAATACCTTAGAAACATGTTAGTACATTTTCCTTCCATGACCAAAACACAATGCTTTATCAAATGTGAGCATCTATTTGATTAAAGCTTACTAAGTTGGCTTGATGGAATGTCTACCCTCTCTCTACATGGCTATGCTGAATACCATTCAAGAACTGCACTATGGGCTTAACAATCTGTGTTTTATTTATAATGGGATATGACAAAGTTATATAGTAATAAATTCACAGTAGTGATTTTTTTTGTATGTAACAAGATCCATAAAGTACAAACTACCCAGAAATACATCACTTTACAATCAAGTCTGTCTCCGCTGCAGAGCTAGTTAAATAAATATGTTAATATTTCTGTGCTTCTAGCAACCAATCATTGGTTGTCTTTTTCTTTTTACCTAAGATATATTAAGATATACTAAATAGTAAGGCTTTCAGGGTGGTAAAGTTTGAGCAGTAATTCTCGTAGAGCTTGATTGACCTTCGTTTCCTACCGTTCTGGGTCATAGGGTCCTAAAGCAAGACAGAACAGAATGGACATTGATGCAAGACAGCCAGCCTCCAAGAGACATTGGTGAGCTAAAGCCCATCACTCCTGGACAAGAAGACAGTGTAACTCAGAGAAATGACTAAAATAAGGGAAGGAGAAGAAATTGGCTTTAGAATTGCTTTTCAAAAGACAGGAGCTATTAGGAAATCTCAAACCAAGACATATGTAGAAACACATATATCTTCACACACAACTTATACACAATCACAAGTATGTGCTGAGATAGATATTCACCTTTTTGCCACAGGTAACATGGATGTGAAGATGGACAAAATGCAAAACTGCCATCTATCTGGTAATACAAATTCAGAAAAACGCAGACGTAGATGGATACAAACATCCGCCTTCAAATTTGCATCCTCATGCAGGCAGCCTTTCCCAGCAGGCACCAGGCTGAAGAGGGTGAATCAAGGAGTTGATTTCGTTGGTTTCACTGGGTGGCAGAACACTCACTCAAATCAGGGGCTGGTAATGAGGAGGGACAGGTAATCCATTTCTGTTAGTCCAATATGCTGGTGGCATCTTGCGGTCACAGCCATTTTATAAGTACAAGCGCTTGACACAGGAGACACTAACCAAGAGAACTGAACGCCACCACAGACTGCACGGAGGAGGCAGGTTAGCAACCCTTCCCTCTCCAACACACCATCACAGCCAGCCTCCCCATTAAAAGGAAGCCCCTTTCAACGGAGATCTGCAATGTGGCAAACACACCAGAGCCATCTACCTTTCATTTTTTGTTGAAAAGAATTTGTCCTTTTTGTAGATTTCAAAGGGGAAAGACAGAGGAAGAAATAGAAGTAATAATAATTGGACAAAAACTGGTGGTCAGATATTTGCAAGGGCTTACTTTCTGAACCTTAACACAGGCTTATGAATTTTGACTTAATGGATAATGCAAAAGATGGAGGAACTACATAACCTTAAAATCCCTTCCTACTCCAGAATGTACTTTTTAAACATTCAGCTCATAGTCTATTAAAAATTGCCACATTTTTACAAACACACTTATGAACAAACATTATCTATTGGTTAAAACACCACCAGGGAGGACAGCAATCTCAGACCTACACTCCTCATTAAGTTCTTTCACAGTTCATGTCAGAATTTTAATAACTTAAGTTGAAAGCTATAGAAAAATCTATAAACATTTAAGGTAAATGAAATCCTGTCTCCTCTAATAGGAACACATATTCTACTTGCCTTAGGGTACAGTTTACCCTGTTCAGAAAGAATAGCCTACTGGTTCCAAGAACTGAAATCTAAATTTACTGTGTTCAATTGTGTGATTCAGCTTTCCAGAACCTTACTTTTTAAAACTATCATTCACCTAGTTCCCACTGCATTAGTAACTCAAACTATTTAGAGGTTGAAAGTGCAAAGGCTTTAGAAGGATTTTGCATTTGATTTTGTTACTTAAAAAAAAAAAAAAAACTCAATACAAAGTTAATGTAAAAAAAAATCGATATTCAATTTAAAAAGAAACAGTAATTTCAGAAAGCCTGACAGTTTCCTATGTAAAAAGTCAGAGAAGAGAGAAAATAAGTTCCTTTAAACCTGTCTTCAATCTGCTGGGAATGTACAAGCAATAATGAATGACTCTAACTTAATCCTTTCTGGACTGGCAATTTAAGACAGGGTTGGAAGCACAGGGCTTTTCAATGCTGATGAATAGCGTCATTATTAATTCTGTCTTACATTTGGCATTTCCAACTGCACCGCATTCGAGCACAGCAGCTGGTCTGGGCCATCAGCCACTTACACAGTCAAAGTCTCACTCACATTCACCATCCCTTACCCTATCCCCCCAAATATTTCCTGAGAAACACAGCATGAGGAACTTCCAGCCTGAGAGGAGCTAGAGGCAGAAACTAAGAACAAAAGCACCATGGTTACATGGTATGTGTTTTCACAAACAGAACCATGTCATAAGATAGTACACCCTGGCTCCATGCCACACCTTGGGTTTCCCCTTCCTCCTTCTCCAGCGCATCTCTTTCAGCTGAAGGCTGTTGATTCCAGGACAATGTTTACTTTTTCAGGTACAGGTGTACTAAAACATTCAAAGCCGATCGCGATTTTTAAAATGACACACAAGATACTATACCACTTGTGGAATTCATAAGACAATAAGGTTCGGTGCACACCTACAAGGAGCATTTCATAGCATTATCCTGAAGCAAGGTGGCTGTCATAAAGAGATAGAGAAAGAGGAGGGTGAGCACTTTTTAAAGGTATATTGAAGATACAGGAAGGCAAACAGAGGCAAAGGTTACCCACTGCTGCATGCAGGATGTGGCTCCTGAGGGGTGTCTCTGCAGCCAGGCTCCCCAGAGGGCTGTTCTCCACAGCAGAACAGCTGGGAGAGCCTCTGAGACCAGCTCCAAAAGGAAACACACGGCAGAAGAACAACTCCAGCTGAGAATACTGGCTTCCTACTCTCCCCTTCCCCCAACTCCCCAGCGTCCACTCCCCTCCACTTGACAAGGACTAAAAGCATGGCACAAGCCACGCAAGGCCCTTTCCTGATAATAAGTGGCTGAGGTGATAAGGTGCACAGTGATGTGGTCAGATGACACAGGGCTGGATAGCAGCAGCTGCCAGTTGGTCGGCACGGTTTGGTCTTCCTCAGCAGGGCAGCATGGTAAAAAATTCACCTCCCTGGGACATCAGATGGCCCCAACAGGGACTTGCCAACCTCAGTGTCACAGTGTTAGTCTCCCCTAGTTGGTGTGGAGCAGGGGAAGAGGACTGGGCAGGGTCAGCTTTGGCTATAGCTTAAGAGAGGCATTCCAGTGGCTGACTCTCCTCTCTTCTACCTGGTAGGCCATGCCATACTTTCCCATGGAACAATCTGGGATGAATAGTGCTTAGACTGTGCAAAGGGCCTGTGGCATGTCTGCTAGGGTGAGTGAGACAGAGTGGAGCCAGGGTGAGAAAACCCAAGGCTAAGAGCAGAATGGGATCAGAAACATAGCAGGGAGGTTTTTCTTTGGGAAAAAATAAAAGTGAATCACTTAAGAGCTGTAACCTGATAGTGTACATTTTTTGTTGGACTCTTCTCTGAGAAAACTAAGGCAACAAAGAACAACGAAGAAGGCAGGCATCTCCTAAACAGCTCCAGCTCCACTGGTGATGCAGACAGCGATTCACATATAGAGGTGCAGCAGAGAGATGGTCCCCTCGGATCTTCAAGGTGGTCAACCAGAAGCGATGGGGGGCTCCGGGACTGGCTGGGAGTCAGGGACGAGTTGTAAGGCGAGGCTCCCAAAGACTCAGCAGCTCCACTTTGGTTTATAGCACTGGCTTCTCCCGAAGTCCCATCCGAGACAGTCACATGCCACCGGTCACTTTTTGTCAAGGTGGATTTCCCCTGCTTCCTTCCAAATAAAGTGCAGATGGTCAAAGGGTACTGGTCTATCACCTGCCAGCTTCAGTCGGCAATGAAGAATAAAAAATTTTAAAAAGACACCTCTCTGGACATATATATCTCTATATATATTCTTCTTCTTTTTCTTTTTTATAAAGCCTCAAATATAGAATTTTTAAACTGATGTCTCAGACTGTAAGCGAAGGACAAACTTGTGAGACTTGGGATCTATAAACTCTTCAGAGAGCATGATGAATGGGATTTTCTTCACATTGATGATGAGGCTGAAGTCCAAGCATTTAAGGACGAAAACAATTCCATCCCGCAGCCCATTAGTCACGGCCTCGTCACTAATAAGTCTCCACTGCATAGAGAGCCAGCGATCCTTGTCATACTGCAAGGTGGGGCCGGCGCTGAGGTATCGTTCTAGGAAGGCCTGAAAGTGAAGGAAGAGCATTAGTGGAGAAATACGCAAGCGGGGAGCGAAGTCCTGCCAGGGGCTGTCCTTCCCCTATGTAAGAAAAGGTTTCCCACAGGCGCCGAGGGTCTTCAGCTGGAGCCCACTTATCACACTGACTTCCCTCCTTTCACACCTCCCACTGGAGTCACTGCGGCAGGGAAGTCCTCTTGGCCTTCCTTATTCCTTTTTGTCAATACCCAACCAGAGGAGAGGTGGGGCTACCCACAGAGGCAAATAAATGGCGGGGGATGGATGCCATTAGTGATGCACCAGTCCTTGAAGGGCTCAGGCCGAATGTACATGCTTTTCTCACTTTTTCTCACTCTTTCAACCAAATGGAAAGCTTCCTGGGGAGCAGGCACAAAGGGGTACCCAGTACATGCTTGCTGAATCAATAGAGAGCCTATATTTGCATTGAAAAAAGTACCTGGTCTACCACTTACTGGGCCATGACTTAGCACGAATTACTTATCTTCTCGTAAGTAGAGATGATAGCAAGAATCTTACACTCTGGATCTGAAATGTCCCCCGAAAGCTCCGTGTTGAAGGCTAGGTCTCCAGCTGATGGGCTATTGGAAGGTGTGTCTACTAGACAGAAATCACTAGGGACTGTCCTTGAGGGGTACCCTGGGATCCTGACTCCTTCAACTGCTATTCTTTGTTTCCTGGCTATCATCAGGTGAGCAGCTTTGTTACCCCATACTCTTATCTGCCATGATGTCCTGTGTTAACATAGACCCAGAGACAACAGAGCCAAGTGACCGCAGACTGGTACCTCTGAGCCTATGCGCCAATAAATCTTTCTCCCTTTTAAATTGTTTTTCTCAGGAATTTAGTTATAGCAATGGAAAGCTGACACTGCAGGGCTTAACACTAACAAATGCTAACACTGGAAGGATTAAGGCTCAGTAAGCCCTCAGCTCTGTACAGTAAGCAGTCAGGGTGAGTGACGGTTATTTCATGTTGAACTGTGCACAGATGGCCAGCCCAGGGACCGAAAGGCCAATGCACCCCTCCTTCTCCCAAGTTCTTCTGCAGGGGCACCTGCTTCACTAGAGTTTGTTGATCGCATGACATCTTCACATGTGTCATTTCTCCTCCACACTGTTCTACAAATTCCTCCTTGACCTTCAAATCTCAAACCATCTCCCTGAACCGCTCACGTGTGTTAATATGTGATCCTCAAACATTCTATAATCAATCGCATGACCTCCTGTGACAGTTTACTTGCAGATCTATCATTGTTGATTTGCTTGCCTTTTCCCATACTAGACTTCACTTTCCTCTAGAGAGAAGGAAATATGTTTTCTATTTCTAAAAATTTGAATTTCCAATGTCCCTGGCACAGACTAAAGCTTAAGAGCATGTGAATTAAATATACATAATGATTTAGCTGTGAGAAGTTAAAAAAAATGAGCCAGTAATACAAATAGAAAAGCATTAGGTTATATCAATATGGTGCTAGACAGAGGCCAAGGACAGTGGGACCCCTTCCATCCATACCTTGTTGCTCCTGCCAGGTATATTACTTCTTAGGGCCTGGGGCGCCTACTCTAAGGCAGAAAGTAGTGCCTTACCTACTGCTGTACCTCTAATATAAACACAGCTCCAAGGAGTCATGTGAAAAAGAATTAGCAGTGAGAGAAATGAAATAATTTTTAGGATACCTTAATGGGAAATTACTTAACAGGAAAAATTTAAATCACATTAATAACTGAAGACATATATATTAAAACACTTCCCCCTATAGATGGGCAGTGATTAAAAGAATGATAACATCCCATGCTGTGGGGCAAAGTGAAAGTCTCCACTGCCTGATGCAATGGTATGAAATGGTGATAGGGCTCATTGGGCAGAACCTGTAACTTCGATCCACCTGTTCTTCTACTAGAAATTTATCCTTCAGAAATGAAATACTTCCATAAACACATATGAAAAAAGATGATTACTGCAAAACTGTTTAGGACACACAATGACAGACTTTTCTATAATTGTATTTTCAGCTTTGCAAGCGGCATGCTGCAATAACTACTCAACCCTGTGGATAGCGAGTAAAAGCAGTCACTGTGGTATGTAATGTACGGAGCATGGCAGGGTACCAATAAAAGCTGATTGATAAGAAGAGCCTCAGGCTTTGGCTAATGAATGAATGTGCATCAACAGGCAATCAGTTAAACAAAGCACAGTGTTTGGTAAAACAAGATGTAGCTATTAACAGAGGAGAGCTGGATCTGCATGAGTTGAGTCTAAATTCAGAAAAGTATGAATTTTTAAATGAAATAGGAGGCAATTAGAAAATACCCTGAAATCTTGAAAAAGAAAACAACTGTGTTTCTTCATGATATAAGCCATCAGTCTGTGCATGCAAGCAATATTTTCCTTATTTATTATCAGTATTGGTGTCCTTTGTATTCTATGTTTTATAACTTAATACTTAAGGTTTTCTTCCTGAATTTAACAAGCGATACACCGTAATTTGCAAACCCTTACTCTGTTTGTAATTCTTTTCAGTTTGCAGTTATTCGAGGTTACTGTGCAAAAGTTAAAGACAAACCCTTACATACAGTCACATGTGTAATAGTCCCTGGGTGTCCACAGAAGGACTGTTTCTAGGATTCCCTGCAATGCTAAGATCTGAGTATTCTCAAGTCCCTCAAACAAAATGACATACTTTTTGCACTTAACCTATACACAACGTCTCATAGACTTTTTGTTTTTTTTTTTTTTTTTTTGTCTTTTGAGACAGGGTCTCACTAGGTAGTTCAGGTTGGCCTTGAACTCACGTCAATTCTCCTGCCTTAGCCTCCCAAATGCTAGGATGCTAGGTATGCATGACCACACCCAACCCTCTCATACATTTTAATTCATTTCTAGATTACTTATAAAATCTAAAACAATGTAAATGTTATGTAAACAGGTATCATATTAAGTTGTTTGGGATATAACAAAGAGAAAAGCCTGTATGTTCAGATGGATGTATTTTTTTCCCCTCAATCATTTTCCATATGGAACCCATAGATTTGGAGAATTGACTGCATATCTGATTATGCCATATTTTAACAGAGGGATTAGTGAGTCAAAGAATATGGAAAGCCTTAGAGTTTCTTACTGAACACTTCTGTGAAAGCTTTTCCTAAGGCTTGCAGTATTGACAATGTAACCACAGGATACATACATACCGCAATACACAACACAGTTCTTTTTACAAATGGCTGCTAAATGTTACTTGTACACTGAAGCTGAGCTCTTTCACTCTCTACCGTGTGATGCATGTATCATATTGCTATGTGTAACATCATTCTTACACAACCCCACTGAGGAGGTATTAATAGCTCCCTTTTATAATAATAGCTCCATTTTATAAGAGGAAACTGTAGATTAACTTGTGCAGTTACAAACCATTTGATGGTAGAGCCAGGATTTGAACTCACTGCTTGCTAAGATAGTTTTTCCCACATCCTTAATCTACTTTACCTCCTTGGCCACCCTTCTCTATTGGATACATCAATATTTATCATAATAACTCGAAAAGTACACTAATATCATAATCCAAAAGACCATTCAATGAAACTAATTCTGCAAAACCACAACGACTAACACAGTGATGGCACGATTTCTACCGTAACAAGCTACTTAGTCTTTATCTTATATTAAGTACTATTTTAAACATTTTACATGAATTAATTCTTTTAGCTCCCTAAATGACCAAATGAGGTCGATATTATTATCTCTAGCTTACAAGTTACAAAAATGAGGCTGAGAGCCAGTAAGCTATTTCTCTATGGTTGTAAAAAAAACTTAGTGAAAAAGCCAGATTAGAATGAGTAAACTCAGTCCAGTGCCCACAGAATATTCCTAACCATTATGCTGCGCTGATTCTAAGGTGAGACTCTCTACTCAGAAGCTAGACGCCTCTGAAAGGCACCCTTAAGAACAACTATGTGTATCACTAATTCTTACCACCTGGGCACCAACATGACACTATAGGTCCAATGCATAAAACTCTGTTTCATTATTAAAATAAAATTATTAAAAATATTCAGCCTATGTGTATGAACTGTGTATAAAGCACAAGTGAATTTCATATTTAGACACGAGTCTCACCTCAAAGGTATCTTATTATACATATGCAAATATTCTGAAACCTGAAAATAATGCAATATCTGAAATACTTTTGGTTCTAAGCTTTTAAGATACGGATACTCAATTAGTAACACTCTAAATTGTGATTGGCCAAAGTTGGTGACCCCTCGGGCTGACAGCTGGCCACATATCACACCTTGGGGGTCATGCTGTTGGTGATGCAGAAGGCCAGATGTTGGAGGATGCTCTCCATGCTGTGGTAGTGCTGCTGCCGAGTGGTTCGCAGGTACTTCTGTAGTGCCCTGGCCATTGAGGGGAAGATGGCCTGTGCCGCCTCCCTGGGATCCATCACTTCCCCTGGGGCTTTCTGCTGCTCCTCAGCCTGGAGACGCTGGATGTGGATGAATGCCTCTTCCACTGCCACCACCAGCCTGGGAAGTGACATGACGTAGTCATCAGAGTAGAACCCATCACAGTGCTTGAGAACAGTCCCATGGGGCTTGGAGGGCCACCTGCCCAACCTGATCCTGTCATTAACTTGCCCAAGCCTTGATCACATTATCCTCCAAAGGGCTGGGGGAAAGAGAAACAAAAGCAAAAATAAGATGTGGGGTGGGGGCGCTTGGAATGGGAGATGAACTCTTTTTGCAATTCTGCTACTAACAAGCTTGGGAATCTCCAATCAAGTTTTCATTTCTACAAAGAGAGTTTAGCTTTAAAGAGTTTGGAGACCCCATAAAACTCTGCCCTAAAAAGGTCTCTGCATACACTGAGAGGCAGTTAGTGCAGAAGCAGCTTACAAAGGACCAGAGATTGGTCTCTGAGATCTAGTCACCCATTTCACTTGGTCCAGCAGCCCCTGGGAAAAAGAGGAGGTGTAACACACATAAGGGAAACCACAGGCTCTGATATGGATCAGAAATGTTCATCAAAAGGTCATGTGTTCAGAGGTGGGGCTGTGGAAAGTGATTGGATCGTGCAGGTTCTAACCTCATCAATCCACAAGGTTTATAACCAAATGGTCTGTTAGGAAGTGAGGCCTTGCTGGTCACTGCAGGCATAACTTGCAAGGCATTATCTTGTCCCTGGCCTCTTTCTCTTTCCTCTGCTTCCTGGTTGCCATAAGGCAAGCAACCATCCTCTTCCACCATGTTTCTGCTGCACCACCAGCTTAAAGCAAATGGGGCTGGCTGACCATGCTGAAACCTCTGAAACCATAAGCTAAAATAAATCTTTCCTTTTAAAAATTTACTCATGTGAAGTGTTTTGTTACAATGCTGGGATGTTGACCAACACAGACTATGGTATTGAGAAGTCATTGTTATACCTACACCTCACCATGTTGGTCAGAAGCCCTTAGACCTGGTTGATGGGATTTTAGAAAGGTTTGGAGATGCTGACTAGAGAAGCTCTAGGATGTCACACGTGGAGCTTAATGGGCAATTAGGGTATATACTCAGAAGACCAGAATGCTGGTGGGAATGTGTTCATGAGGTTTCCAGTGGGAATTATACTGGAGGTAATGCAGGTTACATTCTGGCAAAGAACTTGTCAACATTCTGTCCATTTCCTAGGACTATAAGGATAAATTTAAAGATGACAGACTAATTAATCTGGCAAAGAAAGTTTCAAAGCAGCAAAATATTCAGGCAGTGGCATGTGTACTGCTGACTGCTTTTAGCCTCATTTATAGTATGAATCATTAGCAAAAAAACAGAGTGGAAAGATTTAACAAACTTGTAACTTTGGCCAGAAGTGCATTCAAAACTGAGGAAAATGAGGGTGTGGCTGAAAAGATTAGTGCCATTAAAAAAAAGTGCCAAGTGTTGTGCACTGGGATACAGGAAAGATGCCTTGAGGCATCTCAAGAATTGGTCTAACCTTGACTCACTGCAGTCTTATGGGGTAAATCTGTGAATTCATCTTACGGGGTAAGTCTGTGAAAGACTGCTTTGACTAGAGACTACCAATATGCCGTGTTCCTGCAGGGACCCCTAGGAAGTTGCTTCCCAAGGATTCATTTCACGGTGTTCAGCCATCAAGGCACTCAGAGGCCACTGCATCCAGGGTTCCAGTAGACCCAGCTACTGCTATGGTTAGTGGCAAACCTTGGCATCATCTCCACAATATTGGTTTTTCAGACACACAGAATGCAACAGTTATGAGGTCATGGAAGCTTCCATTTTAAGACTTCAAAGGAAGATCTCAGAGAAAGGCCTGGAAGACTAGATATTTTCAGCATTGCTACAGGCAATGCCCAAGAGGTCAATGCAAGAAGTTGTAGCACTCAAAGTGAAGCTGCAATAGAAATTCTGGAAAGTAGAGATACCAGAATCATGGTATGTCTGTTGAGGAAAGCCGCAGAAGGTGGGCGGAGTCATCCCAAGAAAGATGCCTTGTGAGTTGTGAGTTACAACCAGCCATGCCATAGCAGTAGAGATATGCAAGACTTTAGCTCACATCATGCTACCATATTCTCTGGATGCTGAACACCCAGCTATAAGATTTAATGTTTGTCCTGCAATTTAGTCTTGCTTAGGTCTCATCTCTCCTTTCTATTGGAATGGGAATGCTTACTTTGTATCATTGGATCTTGAAACTATGTAACTCACTTCCTGAGTTTTACAAAGATTCACAGCTAAGAACTTCACAGCTAAGAATTTGGACTTTTGTTAGAACTGTTGAGACTTTACCTACTTCTGGAGATGGACTAAATGCATTTTGTATAACAAGACAGCTACAGACCTGGTAGGCATGAGCAGAATAATATGGCTTAAATCACAGACATCTCCCAAATGTCTCATGTAATTAGAGGTGGAGATTTGGAAGGTAACTGGATCATGGATCCAGGCATCAACATCAATGGATTAATAGTTGAATGGGCTGTTAGGAGGAAAGAGCTTGCTTTAATGAATAGGTAACTGAGCGCATAACCCAGAAGAGCATATCTCCACTCTCTCCCCATGCCCTACTTCATGGCTGCCACAGATGTGAACCTTTCTTCTACCATTGCCTTCCACCAAGGCAGATGCTTCTGCCTTGCCAATGGAGCCTAAGGCAACGCAGCCAACTGACAAGAACTATAAGTCAAAATATACCTTTCTTCTTCAAAGTTGATCTATGTCAGGTATTTCGTCACAATGACAGAAAGCTGATTAACATCCCCCCCCCCCCCCGCCTTTTTCTCTCTAACTTACAGGAGCAGACATGGAAAATTAGCAAAGGTTGAATGGGCAGGACAGGCCTACTCCAAATGTGGGCCACAGACTAGCAGCAGCATCCTCTGGGAATCTATCAGAAATGCGAAGTCCCAGGTCTCATCCCAGAACTACTGAAATGGCATTGTGACCTTGTGGATGGGTCCTGAGCCCAAGATCTAGGTCAGCAAGCCCTTTCTGTGAAGGGACCATCTGAGGCAAGCGCACTCCAAGGGCTCACAGAAGTCATGTCTGTAAACAAAAGCTTTGTTTTGCCAGTGAAAAAAAGAAAAGAAAGGGGTTCTTGGAGGAGGGTTGGCCACACACCTTGCTCTCCGCTTCCTCACCCGACGCTCGTGCTCAGCTTCTTCATAATACAACTCATTGTGGCTCGAGTCCCTGCGCCTGGCGGCTGCAGCGATCATGGCCCGGGACTGACCGGTGGCGTTGTTACTGGGGCCTTGGAGAACGGATGAAGGGAGAAGCACAGCTTTAATACCAAGGGGCTGGGAATGGAGCAGAAAATAAGCACCAGGGTCTATCAGTGCTGTCCATCCACCCACTACAAAGCAAACACACAGATCCTAATAGTATCGTCCCAGGAGAGATACTCCACATTCCCTAGTCCTATTCCCTTTTTCTATTTCTTCCAGTCAGGAAATCTGACACAATATGACTGGAAGAAATAGAAAAAGAACTCAGAAGGGGATAAAGAATGTCAGTCAGTCAAAAAAACATATGGAGTGTGCTGAAGATGTCCTTTATCATCTGTTACACAGAGTTTCAGTTTGGCCACAAGGGCAGTTGGGATATCACAATGAGAGAGAATCGGTGGGATAGGAGAACAAAAGCAGAGGAAAAGAAAACCAAGGGACACTGATCACATATAGAAAAACAAGCTAAGCTAGAATGTCATGGGCAGTAATGACATTTTTGGAAAATACAAACACTTGAGGACTTAGAACTCCTATTTCATCCCCTGACTGCTGACCACAAAGACAAGGCAGAACCCAAGCTTATCAATGAGTTATTTGGCTGGAGACTTGGGTTCCCCAGTGGGTACATCCTAAATTTCCAGATCAGAGGTGAAATTTCCAGAACAGGATTCATAGGAAGTCATACATTCATATGCAAAGAAACCAAATTAAAAAAAAAATCTAAGGGAGATACTGTCACTAAAAACTGACACTACACATAAATCACTTTACTTGTTGAAAACATGATCTCCTCTGGAATCCGCAAAGCTCTTGCCCTGACCCAAGGTGCCTGGCAAGAAATGACACCGTGTCCTGTTTCTTACACTTGGACATCTGATACCTTCAGCCCAGTTCACACTTCCTTAGTCAGCCTCCAGCCTTTTGCTACCACTCAACTCCGGTCCTAGCCAACACGGAGAAACCAGGCACCTGAACTACTGAGATTTCTACTCTGAAAGGACTTTGACTACCAACATTCTGAAAATTAGTCCTTTCCTAATAGCTTTCAAGATGAGGGAGTCCCAACAGGAGGCAGAACATATTACTATTGTTTTCAACCATAAAAATTCTAAAGAATGAAAGTCCCAGATATTTAGACTATAAATCAACAATCTTCTGAAAATGTCTGCCTACTTTTTTGAAAAAAAAGTAATTGGTCTGAAACGAGAATGTACATAAGGCAAGCACATCACAGACAGTTTTAAGGCACATACCATCTACATTGTACACTTTCAGCCCGGCCATGTGCTTGGCTGCTCGGAATTTGGAAGCCGTTAGGAGGTTTGGGTTATAGATGGTGAAATCTTTGTAGTAATTTTCCAGAACCACCAAAGCTGCTCTTTGGATACTGCAAAAAGAAGATGAAATTAATACAAAGTAAATTAAGCAGGTCTGAAGTAAAACATCCTTTTCTCTGAGTCAACGAAACATCACACTGAAGTTTGTAGTTTCCATATACCTTGTATCTCCAGGATTAAAATTTAAAGACCCAGCTAAGTCTGGTCACCAAGTGGTTTCCTTGCCAAGGCTCCGGCAGTAGCCATATCCCATCTAGCCAACAGCAGAATGAGGAAGTTACAACTCATAACTGACATTTAGGGTTAGGTTACACAGAACTTTTCCTATTTTCTCCAGTTCACGAAAAAAGGACACTGAGACCTTGGAGAGGCAAGAGACTTACTGGTGTCACAGAGTGAAAGAACAAAGCACATACTCAGGTTTCTTAGGACCCAGTTCAGTGCTTTGTCTCACAGCTCACCACTCCTGTGTGTGAGGAATTCTGGGTTTAGGTCTCATGTGAATCAGAAGAATTCTGGGTTTTAGGTCTCATGTGGATCAGAACAGTGGCACTCACAAAGGGTGCACTTTAAAGAAGACTCCATCAAAGATCATTTGAGGATTAGGGTCCTCAATGCCTCTTGACTCTTGGACTTCTATCTCTGGCTCTCAGTAGAGGGGTCAGTCTGAGTTCATCAAATTCTAATTTGCTCAGATCTATAGAAAGCAGCAGGGAAGAAGAGGACAGGGAATCTCTACAGTAGGACTGTGTATGTGGGGAGAGTGCCCATACTCAGAAATGGGCAGTGGTGACACAAGAACATATTCTTGGTCACACAAACAGGATATCTTCTACCTCGCAGAGAAACTTGCAATGGTGCAGTGAAGGTTTTTGCATAGCCTATCTTATGTGAACCTTATGATCATTCAAGATAAGAAACTGACGCTCTAAAGTCTATGATCAACACCATCATCTAATACACAAGAGAGCTAGAACCCTGATGCAGACCAACAAACTTCCAACTCAAGCTCTTTCCCCTGTAAGCCTGTGTCTCCCTGCAGCTCTCTAAGATGTTCACCAACCACCAGGAGGCTAAATATCATGCGTACATCCTTATTGTACCCCTTACATTCACATTCCTAGTATTCTGCTGAATAGATGGGCTCATGAGGTTACTAGAATGGCCAGAGGACCAGGGCATAGCTCTCTTTGATTCCTGGATGACCACAGTGCACTCCAATGCTCTCAGTGGCTTGGAGATCCTCATTTCACACCAGGTAATACAGTGCCCACGCCACCAGGTGGAGATTTTGTCAATCTACCCTTTCAGCTTGGATCTAAAAGGATCTAGAAGCTATTTAATAGCTAATTAATTTCCTTGAGAGTACATCAGGCAGTGTTTCCTTAGTTATATCACCACCAGCACTATGATTAGTGCTCTGTACCGATTCTACATACATACAATGCATGGAAGTACTGTCAGGGAAAATCTGATGAGCATAACCTTGCATTATGGAACTATCTTTATGATTCCTAAGAATAAATTCCCATTTTGAAAGTTCTAGCCAGTCCACTCAGTTACTCACTCACCAGTCTCATATTTAAATACCTGCATGTACTTACAACGACAGATAGGAAAAGCTTCACCGTGGCCAGATACACAGAGCACAAGCCATTTGACAAATGCGTCCTCACTCTGTAACACAACGGGGTTAACCAAGCACACAGGACAGCTTCCATACTAGGAAAGGACAGCACACAAGAACAGCTTCCCCCGGAGTTGGCACTGGAGCTGAGGTTTGTGTCATAGATTTTTGCACAAAAGTCCACTCCACTTGCTGTGATCTCCGGCAGGACTCAAGCTTAGCAGGGCTCCAACCTCCTTCTTGTCTCTTTGCCTGTGGCATTCTCCAGAGAAAGGCAAGTATTTCTTCATCTCTCTTGCATCCAGATATTTATCATGACCCTCTTCCTGGTAACAAACATGTGCTCTCCTGCATACCTCTGCCACGTACTACTCCAATCACCTGCTGATTTTCAAGTCTCTAAACTTTCATGAGAAAAGGAGTCCCTCTGTGCAGAAATAAGCCCTAGTTATACACACAGACTTTGTGTGTTCAAACCATTTCATTTCACACATAAAAATTTGTCTTGGCATCTAAATTACAGCAGAAAATTATTTTCATAATCAAAATTTAAAAGTTAAAAGGCAATTTTGGAAGTTTTTCATAGGCCTGTTTTCAAAGCAAAACTCTCTTGTGGCTGTTGAGTTTTACATTTTTGCTCATCCAGGCCACCAGGAAGAATCCAGCACCTCAGTTGGGTCAGTAAAGGAAACTGTCACATTGCTCACCACACATCACAATCACAGGCCACTGCCTTGTTCTATCTCGGAACTGCTCCAGCAGGAATCACACTGTGCCACCTTCCTCTGGCAAATGCTGTCCATACTGGGCAAGGCCACAGCTACAGCAAAGTACCTCGGAGCAAAGTGCGAGGCCTCCTCTAGAAAGAGTCCAGACACCTGGGTGTGAACCTCAGCCTTCCCAGGACTGAAGAAGAATCCTCTGCTCCAAAAACCCCACAAAACAGAAGATCAGAGTCCTGCTCATCTTGCAGCATGGCTTCTCAGCACTGTGACTCAGTGCTGGTGTGGACCTGGCTGGCCTCCCAGGCCAGCACAGTAAACTGGAGGCGAAGGACTCTCAGTGCCAAGTTTACAAACGCCTGCAAGAGCTGAGCACACTCTTACCTACAGAGCATAGTTTGCTTGACATTCAACAAATATAGCAACTCTAGGGACTGAGAATTACTACACAACTAAAGATAACACATAATCAGTGTAGACAGCTTTAAAAAATGGGTATAGCCTTTTGGATTAAAATCCCCCATGTATCCTCCACCTTGTTACAAAGTAAACTATAGCACACATTGGTGCCACTTGCGAAGATGTTTACGCCTTCATCACTGAACTGCAGTGTGTCTGAACAGTGAAGACACAGGTACAAACAGCAACCAAAGCTGTCTGCCCCTGTGCTCCATGCGCCAGGACACAGTGCAGTCTGAATACTTGAAGCTCTTTGGTGTTTATCCCTTACTCTGTTCTGTTACTACTGGCTATCAAAGTCAGTTTAGTTGCTATACTCTGGCACTAGTCTCTGTCACAGTCCCTACAAAGCCAAGATGTAGGAGGACGTATCCCCCTAGCCAGAAGAAGGGCTCAGAACTCTACCTGCCTTTACTCCTGCAAATATGGTACCACATGGGGCCGAAGTAGGATTGAACTCTTTCAGGAAGCTTCTCCACACTGTCTCTCCTTAAACCCACAGCATCCCAAATCTTCCAAGGAGTCAAGTTATTCTTGCCTGTTTGACAGCTTGTGTGTGGTTTCTCATGCCCAAGGGACATCTCCTTTGATTTCTCCACAGGCATAATGTTTATTGGCTCCACTTCTGTATTCATGAAACCCTATAATTCTATAGATCTAAAGATCAATTTGACAGTATAATTCACAAAACTGTAATTTCAGAGGCAAAAAGGGTCAGAGAGATGAATGAAAGCAAACCCTTTAACTAATCCCAATCTCTAGACCAGGTAGTCTGGGGGAAGAAAGCAGACAAGAAAAATCAAGGCAGTGTGGATTATGCCACCTCTCGTCACTACTTTATTCAGAGGCAAAAGGTAGTAACCCGGTCAGCAAGCCTCAGGAACTCTGTACCACAGTAAAGGGGATCCTGAGACCCAAGGCAAGGGCCTTCTCCACCAAAGCTGATGCCAATAGACTCTATTCTGTCACTAACCCAGGAGATATTCTTCCTTCACAGGCCCCATAGATTTGTGGAAAACAACACATGGACAAACGCCTAGTTAAAACAGAATTTCACTAACGTCTACATATAAAAAAAAAGCACACTCCAGATACAAATATGAAAAGACAACAGAGAAAACAGAATACTCAGGCTTTGGAGAGGCTGATGTCATCAACTGGAAAGGAGCCTCCACTACTATGCTTGGGCCCAAGTTGCTTCAAACCTGAGCATATGGGAAAAATACAGCGGCACTGGATTAGCCCAAATCGCTGAAGAAACTGACACCCCATTTCAGTTTAAAACTCACTGCTGACTGGGTGGCCTATTTTCTTGATAGGACAAAGACCAAAGGTGAAGTGGTAGGGTCTTTTGTGCTAATCAACCACAGAAACACTTCATGTCATTGCAACTGTTACAACGACACTGGGGCAACAGGGAAGAGGAGTTTACCCTTTATCAGACCAGAGGAGAGCAAGCACCTGGAAACAGTTCAAATTTCAGTTCACAAAAAGCTGAATGATACATTTTTGAAAGATAAATTTTGAAGAAAACAAGAGCACACACCAAAACAACAACAAAAATGTCTATATTCCCAACACCTCCCCCACGCTCCATGCAGGCCTGACTCTAGATAAAAGGACTATGAGAGACTGCACACATAATACGAATGGTGTGGGCCACCAGCATCAGACTATATTAAGCTTGGCTCTGTCATATTCTAGATCTTAAACAGTTATTAATTTCTCCAAACCTCAGAGTTTTCATCTGTAGAATAGGAGTAACAACCCAGGAAATCTTGTTATATCCTGGTAATGTTATAACCATATAAGCCATGTTATATCATGGGCTTCAAAATATTCATTGTTATAAAATTTATTACTGAAAGGATAATAAAACTGTGAGACAGGCCAGTGCAGCCAGCAATTCTATTAAGAGTCCACTAGATCCAAATATAGCAGGTGGGGGCTAACATTGGCACTGCCTTGTGCAAGTTGTCTAATGAGCTTTATTATTGTTGAGGAAAATTCTGAGTTTAAGATTTTCTGAAATTATAGATATAATCAGCACACAGGCCAGGAAAAAAATAACCTGGAGACTTGGAAGTTCACTCTCTACTTTCCATGATTTAGGTTAGTTTTAAGGATTAATAATTAGGATCATACATTTTAAAGTGCTTGCTCCAAAGCAAATGCCTCAAAGATGTGGCTACTATGACCTTCTAGAATTCATGTACACTGGAAAAGACAATCTGTCCCCCAT